TGTGTATGTATGTATGTATGTATTCCTGTAAAGCTGCTTTGGGCAATGCCCATTGTTAAAAGTGCTATACAAATTAAGCTGAATTGAATTGAAACATCATTTGTACCTTCAGAAGGTAAGTGTATAGTGTACCTGTAAGGTACACTATATTGCCAAAATTATGTGGACACCTGACCAATGAACATTCCCTTCTAAAATCATGGCCATCAATACTGAATTATTCCCTCTTTGCTTCTAGAACAGCCTCCACTGTTTCTAGAAGGCTTTCTACCAGATTTTGGGATGTGTCTGTGGGGATTTATGTTCATTCAACCCCAAGAAACTCCATCATTCCAAGAAAGCCATCATTCCAATTCATCCCAAAGGTGTTAAGTGTGGTTGAGATCAGGGTTCTGTGCAGGCCAGTCGAGTTTTCCCACCAAATGTTCTAAAACATGCCTTTCTAAAACATGTCTTCATGTACCTCGCTTTGTGGGCAAGGTGATCGTTACAGGGACATTGCTGGGTCTCTTAGTTCCACTAAAGGAAAATTTTAAAGCTACAGTATACAAATCTTACACAATTCATGCTTCCAACTTTGTGGCAAGAGTTTGGAGAAGACATTATTATGGATGTGATGGTCAGGTGTGTACATACTTTTGGCCATATATGAAACTTAACGTTCTACTGTTAGAACAAATTGCACTGTTCTACAATTCATTCATTTTTATACTAACTCTTTAAAAGTTGCACTAGTTGCAAAGTCATTAGTAAAGTAAAGCATTCACAGCGCTTCACTTTTTCCACATTTTTTTATGTTACAGCCTTATTATATAACCTCAAAATGGATTCAATTCATTATTTTCCTCAAAATTCTACAAACAATACCCCATAATGACAATGTGAAAGAAGTTTTTTGAAACCTTTGCAAATTTATTAAAAATAAAAAACACAAAAGCACATGTACATAAGTATTCACAGCCTTTGCTCAATACTTTGTTGAAGCACCTTTGGCACCAAATACAGCCTCCAGTCTTTTTGAGTATGATGCTACAAGCTTGGCACACCTATTTTTGGGCAGTTTCTCCCATTATTCTTTGCAGGACCTCTCAAGCTCCATCAGGTTGGATAGGGAGTGTCGGTGTACAGCCATTTTCAGATCTCTCCAGAGATGTTCAACCGGGTTCAAGTCTGGGTTCTGATTGGACCACTCAAAGACATTCACAGAGTTGTCCTGTAGCCACTCCTTTGTTATCTTGGCTGTGTGCTTAGGGTCGTTGTCCTGTTGGACGATGAACCTTCGCCCCACTCTGAGGTCCAGAGAGGGTTTTCATCAAGGATGTCTCTGTACATTGCTGCATTCATCTTTCCCTCGATCCTGAATAGTCTCCCAGTTCCTGCTCCTGAAATCATCCCCACAGCATGATGCTTCCACCACCATGCTTCACTGTAGGGATGGTACTGGTCAGGTGATGACAGGTGCCTGGTTTCCTCCAGACATCAAGCTTTCCATTCAGGCAAAAGAGTTCAATCTTTGTTTCATCAGACCAGAGAATTTTGTTTCTCATGGTCTGAGAAACAAACCAGGCAGGCTGTCATGTGCCTTTTACTGAGGAGTGGCTTCTGTCTGGCCACTCTGCCATACAGGCCTGATTGGTGGAGTTCTGCAGAGATGGTTGTTCTTCTGGAAGGTTCTTCTCTCTCCACAGAGACACGCTGGAGCTCTGTCAGAGTGACAGGTTTTTGGTCACCTCCCTGACTGAGGCCCTTCTTCCCCGATCGCTCAGTTTGGCTGGACGGCCAGCTCTAGGAAGAGTCCTACTGGTTCCAGACTTTTCCATTTATAGATGATGGAGGCCACTGTGCTCATTGGTACCTTCAATGCTGCAGAAATGTTTATGTACCCTTCCTCAGATCTGTGCCTTGATACAATCCTGTCTCAGAGGTCTCCAGACAATTCCTTGGACTTCATGGCTTGGTTTGTGCTCTTACATGCATAGTTAACTGTGGGACCTTATATATACAGGTGTGTGCCTTTTCAAATCATGTCCAATCAAAGAAATTTACCACAGGTGGACTCCAATCAAATTGTAGAAACATCTCAAGTATGATCAATGGAAACAGGATGCACCTGAGCTCAATTTTGAGTGTCATGGCAAAGGCTGTGAATACTTATGTACATGTGTTTATTAAAAAAATTTTTTTTAATAAATTTGCAAAGATTTCAAACAAACTTCTTTCACGTTGTCATTATGGGTATTGTTTGTAGAATTTTGGGGAAAATAATGAATTTAATCCATTTTAATCCATTAACGCTGTAACATAACAAAATGTGGGGAAAGTGAAGCGCTGTGAATACTTTCCGGATGCACTGTACATATACAGCATTTTGATTATGTAATAATTTATGCCCAGTCGCCGATGTTTTGTGCATAGTCTCTTCTATGCAGTGTTGTGCCATATTCTTTCAGTTTTTTTTAAATAATTAATTTAATTTTGCAAGGGATGTTCATAGTTTGGGATTTATTTTTTTCATTACCAAACCCCAATTGATAAATTTCCATAACTTTTTTTCCCCCAGACTTGTTTTGATAGGTCTTTGGTCTTCATGGTGTTGTTTGTTGGGGCATGTTCTCTAACAAACTTTGGGGCCTACAAGGAACAGGTGTATTTTTTAGACTCTAATTTAGGGGTCAGGACTAATTTAAGGGTCCCACAGTATTAGGGCTATATACTTATAGCCTACAATCACATATTTTATGTTTTGAAAATCATTTGTAAATAATTTTACTGACTATACCGATGTTTCCCTTTAATATTATGGGTTATTTTGTGCAGATTCATGACATAAAATCACAACAATTCCTTTTTATTTTTTTACAGGTTTTAATGCTACAAAATGTAAAATAGTTCAAAAGGGGGTGAACATTTATGCAAGGCACTGCAGTCCAAAAGGTACAAACTATACATCTTTAAGGGCATCACCAAAACAGTACAGTTTAGTACGCTTTTTTCTTAATGTGTCCTGCTCTACTAAAATAGGGAACTTTGCATAAAGTTTTCATGAGCCCTTAATCTGCCCAGGCCCAGTTCAACAAATCTAATTTGTCCTTTTATCAGGTTTATGGGTGTACTATTTTTTGCTACTTTACTTAACACCTATGGATGTTGTAAGCGTCGTTATGAAAAAGGAATTGATGGTGAATAAATGTACACACATTTTGCACTGAGCATAACAGCTGTACAGACTCCCCTGCAATCCCTTTCTCCTTCTCTCAGTCTGTTTGCTCTTCCTTTCCTTTGCTTGCTCCCTGCTCTTGATAACTAATGCAATGCACTCTGGGATGCCTGAGAGAGCTGTGTGTATGAAAAATTTATTTTTATTTCTCTCTATTTTTTCTATCACAGGTATGACAGACAGCTTAGCTCACCAGCACCTCATTATTAAGAATTTGCATAATATAACCTATAAACCTTTAATTATATATATATATATATATATATATATACGCTCTGACAGACATACACACACACACACACACACACACTATGAACATACAATCTACTAAATCTATCTACAGTGGTCAGGCCAATCCAGCCTGTCATTTCACACATATTGACAGATTTCACACACAATCTCCAACCTCAGCAAGACACACACACACACACACACACACACACACACACACACACACACACACACACACACACACACACACACACACACACACGTGGAAAATAAAATAAATAAATAAAGTTTTATGAGTGCACTGGGCTCTGTCTTATATTGTATACAACACAACTAGATTTCCAGTGACGATTAAGTCTGACAAACTGGTGTAATGAAAATATTTTAAACTCTCTGTAGCCGAATACATATACACACATACTGCTAGAACAACACACACACTATTCCACCCCTCTCTCTTTCTCTCTCTCTCTCTCTCTCTCTCTCTCTCTCTCTCTCTCTCTCTCTCTCTCTTGAACCGATTTCATTCCAGCCACTTCAATGTTTATTACTCTTGTCGCTTTTCTCCAAAAAAAACAACAACAAACATCTTTTCGTTGTCTATCACTTCACGACAAAAATCTCTGCAGCTCCCCAGACACAAGCAGCACAATGGACTGTGTTATTAGCCGTGTCTGGAGAGCTGAGAGTGGAATTAGACACTACAAAGGGACAGACAGAAGCTCAGCACCACACAGATTATATCTACCTGTCCATCCGCCCAGGCGCTTGCCTCTCTCTCTCTCTCTCTCTCTCTCTCTCTCTCTCTCTGTCTCTCTCTCTCTGTCTCTCTATTTCTTTTTGCCTTACTCAAGAAGGAGTAGGGAGGGAGGGTGCAGACAAGCGCTGCTGGCTAAAGTCTCTTATCAGGCTTTGATGAGCCCACAGGATAAAGGCTACAGACTTGTTTTGCGATAAACATCATTGGGAAGAGAACTTGTAAACAAAAAAATCCATAAATTAAGAAGTAAGCTCAAAGACCTTGATCAAAGCATGGACACGTTGCAGGCCAGTAAAAGGAGGGGTCTTGGTTTGCACCATTAAATATTTGGGCTAAGTAGCTTAGCATGAGGTCTCAGCAAGATGGTTTGATGAGGATGGAAGGGATGAAATCATATGCCATGGCCTTCATAATCACCAGACCTCAACCCAATTGAGGTGAAATTTTGGACCAACTTGTTAGAGAGCATTTTCCACCCTCATCAAAACACCATTTGAAGGAATATATTTTGGAAGAATAGTGTTCATCCCTCCAGTACACTTCCAGAGTATGAGTGTAATGCAGTGCCACTGTCTGGATCTTTTTAATGCTCCAAATATTTGTATTTTTATCTCTATTTGGATGAACTCCAAAGTGGGCATGGCCTAAACCAGAATGTTCTTTTTTTTAATGAACCCTATACCCCTCACAACACTGGAAAAATCCCAGAGGTAGAAATGCCAACACTATGTGTGAACTCCAGTTCTTGGCTCTACATCACTCGAATTCATAATTAGTCTCAACTAGACATGTGCAGGGGGCACAGTGGTTAGAACATTTGCCTCACACCTCCAGGGTTGGGGGTTCAATTCCCACGTCTCTGCTTCGGGGGTTTCCTCCTGGTACTCCAGTTCCCTCCCCAAGTCCAAAGAGATTGGCATTTCCCTTGTGCCCAGAATGTGTGTGTGTGTGTGTGATTGTGCCTTGTGATGGGTTGATGTCTTCTGCCATGTGCCCTGAGTCTCCTGGGATAGGACTCGGATTGACTCCCCACAACCCTGTGTAGGATAAGTGGTATAGAAAATGGATGGATGGATAGGCATGTACACTTTTTTTCCCCCCACTCATCTCATGCAGTTATTTTTGATTGTGCCTGCCCACAATATTTTCTAACAAATTTACTTGGTTCTATGTACCAAAATATAAAGAAACAGGTAGACAGATTTAAACCACCATTGACTCAGACAACATAGTTAGTAAGGACGACCTCATGTTCATGTTATTGCTCACACCCACGTCTCATGAAAGTAAAAAACCTCCCATTTGCACCGTTCTTTGTTGATCCCATGGGATCTAGTCTATAATACACACCATTTCATTAAAAAAAAGTGTGCCTCATAGTTATCTGTATTTGTGTCCATTAGAACACATTAGGTGTTCAAGCCAAATAACTTATTGTCAGATAGGGGCTGAGACAGATGCTTGTGCAGCCCATTTATTTGAGCACAAGTTGATGAAACAAAATCAAAACCAGAGCCACAAAATAAATAAAACACGACCTTGAAGACCATGGCATGAAACAAACAACATACAACAGGTAACAGAAATTTAGCAATGCCTGCGTTATTTATGCTGTGAGTGTGATGGGAAACAAGTGCACATAATCAGAAGTAATGAGGCCATGGTTGTGGTAAAGAACATTTTAAACGTTACAAAAGAAACAACATAAAGTACCTCAGTAATGTGTAATGAAGATAAGTCTCAGGAACTACAACGGAAACAAAGAGCTCACTGCAGCCTCACAAAATGGCTGAACTAGACTCCATTTCCCAGCAGCCACAACCATGGCCTCGTTCCTTCTGATTATCATGTCCACCAGTGATGATGTCAGTGTGTGTGCAAGCAAAGGTATTCTAGCTCAACTCGACAAGCAAAAAGTAAAGACCAAAAAGGCACATTATACTTAAACTAATGTGAAATATAAAACTATAAATTCAAGATGTTTTGTACAACATGTGACTTGTTGTATATTCCAAATATTGCATAGGGCTGATTGTGTTCAGATATCAGAGTTGTTGGACAGGCAAAAAATATTATGTAGATAGGTTTTTATTAACGTTTAAAATGTTGTTTACCTTTATTTACATACATATATATTTGTAAATGTAATATCAGTGGGAGACAAATGGCACCCCAAATCACCCAGGCCATATTTCACATACTGTATTTGTAAACCAAGCCAGTGTTTACAGCCATGTTTAAACAGATGTATGAACACATTGCATTATGGGAACACACATAGTGTCTGAGCTAATAAACTATATCTTATAAACACTCAAGCATATCAACTAGAACTCTTCTTATAATGGATTCTGTGTGTTCTATCATTTGGCATTTCCAAAATAGCTGACATTCAAGTAAGAACCCTAACTAGACATCAATTTCGTAGAGTAAAGCAGCTATCGGAGAGTAAACCAGCCAGCCTAGAGCATTCTGGTTGACAAATATTTCATCAGCGTAGGGACGAGAGGATCACCCGCACTCTCTGATGATTTATTTATTTGTACTTATAAAATAAATTATATATCTCTATATATGATTTTGATGATTAATTTATTTATAATTATGTTAATTATGCATGCACTGTGGGGTAGAAGACCTCATTTTCTGGGGCAACAGCTTTTGGAACAGCTTTGCAATGATCACAGACACAGGGGGCCGATCGGGGCCCGTCTGTGTGTGCGTGCGTGTGTGCATGTGTGTGTGTGTTTTGTTGTAATAATGATTTATTCATGGCTCACACTGGACCTTGGACCCTTGAGACCTCTAGAGAGAGAATGAGAGAGAACAACAATGGTCGTAAGGGAAATGAGATTCAAAAAAGGATGAAGAGGATGGAGGAAAATCTGATATGGGAATGTTCAGAAAGAAAATGCAGCTTTCACTTAAAAAAAAAAAATAAATAAGCTAAAATTCCCACTTCTGGTTCAGATATTAACAGTAGGTTATTTGGGGATAAGCATATGAATAAATTGTCAGGTTCATAATATTTGGGGGGGGGCAACATTGTGTGTGTGAGTGTGTGTGTGTGTGTGTGTGTGTGTGTGCGTGCGTGCGTGCAGCGTGTCTGTGTGCACCTGTGCGTATGCCTCAAATATCCACAGTAAACATGCGATGAGTTCAATAAGTCCTTAACCTTTCCTGTGTAAACCCTGATATCTCTCGATAGTTCTCAGCAAAAGCACTGGTGTTAAATGAACCCCTGCAGAGTGTGTTATGGTCCTGCACAGCCCACTGTGAACTCCAAATGAGCTCAGCCCAAGTTCTTAACCCTGGGTTAAATGCATTGGCTAGCAGAAGCACTCCACCACTGTGCATGTACACACACACACACACACACTCACGCACACACACTGCCACTACCTATAGAAACCGGCAAGTACACATACAGACGGGTGACAAAGGAAAAGAAACAACATAAAGTACCTCAGTAATGTGTAATGAAGATAAGTCTCAGGAACTACAACGGAAACAAAGAGCTCACTGCAGCCTCACAAAATGGCTGAACTAGACTCCATTTCCCAGCAGCCACAACCATGGCCTCGTTCCTTCTGATTATCATGTCCACCAGTGATGATGTCAGTGTGTGTGTGCAAGCAAAGGTATTCTAGCTCAACTCGACAAGCAGAAAGTAAAGACTAAAAATGCACATTATACTTAAACTAATGTGAAATATAAAACTATAAATTCAGGGTCTTTTGTAGAACATGTGACTTGTTGTATATTCCAAATATTGTGTTCAGATACAAGAGTTGTTGGACAGGCAAAAATATTCTGTAGATAGGTTATTATTAATGTTTAAAATGTTGTTTACAGAGCTGTTTTTGTTATTTATATCAGTGCATCAAAAAGTGTGGTGCACCGCATTCTTTCATTTATGACTTCAGTTATATCTCTGAGTCACTGATGGAAAACCGTGCACACATACATTGACATGCAAAAATCCACACATTGAATTCTTCTCTTTGTCAGGTGTGCCCATGTCTTTACTTCTCTTGAACCAACACTGGCCTTAAATGGTGTTCCGGCTGAGGATGGTGTCAAATCCCTACCAGAGCCAGCAGTCCTATCTCCCACATGGAATCATATTTCCAACAGGAAGTTGCATCATCCAAACTTCCTGAATATTATGGGAAGAAGAAAAAGTAAGTTCTTTCATTATTTCTTCTTTATTTTCAATAATATTGTGATATTGACTGATGAGGAACAACCCTGTTATCGAAATTATAGACTGAAAGAAAATACTTAGCAAAAAAATGAATAATTGGTTCTCCTTAATGTCGTCATGTCATAAGCATGGACTAGTTAACCACATTTTGCATATTTGCTAATTCTATGCTATAAACAATCGTCCCATTCATATGCTAGATCTCATCCCTATTACTTTCATCCATTACTTACAGTATTTAAGAGCAAGATGCAGCCACTGTCAGCAAATAAACCTGTTAAAACTGAGATATTGTGACCTGAGATGATTAGCACATTTCTTGAGCAATTAAAGAAATTCTTTCTTGGTGCAACAGAAAAGTGTTTGTCCTATAATCCAGAGATCCCAGGTTCGAAACCCAATAATACCACAGCCATCCACGGCCGGGAGTCCAGGGGAGCAAAAATTCTCCATGCTCTCCATTAAGGAGGGGTGGCATTCACTCTCTCTCCTATCAATCACAATGACGCTAACTAATCATGGGCATCTGTGAGCTGAAGAGGGCAGATAGCACTTTCCTCTGAGTATGATATGCTGCCCTCTGACGCTGCATGAGGAGCTTTTTTAAAAGATGAAGTTGGCTGGCTTCACATGCCTCAGATGAAGCTTGTGTTAGCCTTCACCGTCCCTGGTTGGTAGCTTTATCGTGATAGGGGAGTGCTGAGTGGTGGTTGCGAACTGGCCAAGACCAATGTGACAAAAATGTTGAAAAATAAATGTTTTCTAAAACTATCACCTTATCTTTTAGAACTGTATATCTTTTATATTTTATTTGTAAGGGTTACACAGGCTTAATGGCACTGCAATTATGAAATCAGTCTTCTTATGTTTGCTCATCAACCGTTGCTTATTATAATAGATTCAGATAAAAACAGTGGCATTTGGGATACGCCCCAGATATGACAGCAGGCACAAAGACAGGAAGCATCACAAGAATTGATGCCGTTAGATTTACAGGTTCTTGGTGGGCTTCTTTTCTCTTTGAGCCAAGACTGCCAATGCTGAGACTGTGTGAAAGCTGTGCAGCATACAAAAGGAAAACATGTTACACAGCAGACAGCCAGCAATTCTGCAGGAATATAAGGAGAGCTACTTTCCCCCCCTGTTTTATCCACTTTCTATCTCACCCTCCACACCAGAGGTTCTCTCTCTCTCTCTCTCTCTCTCTCTCTCTCTCTCTCTCTCTCTCTCTCCCGCTCTCTCTCTCTCTCTGAATGTTGCAGTGGTGCAGAGAAATTGCCTGTTATCCCAGGTCGATTTTTCATGTGCTTGTAAATTGGCTGGTATTGACGAGTTTGTGAGCAAGGGCTAAGTCTGTGTGAACCCAAGCAACACAGCACAGCAAGAGACTGAACTTAGTTCCACTCTCATAGGGGGAGATGGCACGGGTGGCTGGTGGATGTTAGTGAGGGATGGAGTTTGAAGTTGCTTCATGATATGTGATGTGTAAGAGCCCTCTACCATTAAAAAAGATCTTAAAGCAACAACAACAACAAGATCTTGTCAGGTGAAAATATTTCACATAGTTTATCAATTATTTCTCGTTGTGAGTTTCTGATAAAAAAACAAAACAGGAGATTAAGATTATTAAGCACATTTCTTTAAGCTTTAAATGACA